CATCTTGGAGCATGACTGAATGGACTTGAATTGATGTTATAGGTGTTTCTAGGTTCGGCAATTTGTACTTCTTCATATCAGCCTTTTTATTATTACCTGATGGAGGGAATAGCAATGTGAAGGTGTTATGTATGGATGTATGGGATGTGCGTCCACACCACGCGTGCGCAAATGGACCATTAGACAAACTGGCGCTGTTGAACAAAAGGGCGACTGCTAATCTGTTCAGCCAGCAACTCCCATCGCTATTATGACTACCGTGTTAGGTATACTTTTTTTTTTTTTGTTTCCCCGTACTCCTGATACGGATGCCCCCACTTCTTATTTTTCTGCTCCACTTATCCTTACTGTCACTTAACGGGTAGACGATCCACTTGAGGGTCAGTATGTTGTCCTCCAGGTACACTATAAACTTAAACGTCTTTTGAGGATCCTTATCACATTTGTTAGTCATGGTTTTGCCGTCATCACTAAACTGTACCATTATGTTATCCGCGTTGGGGAACTTGGTAGACAGTTCTATGTCGTTGTCCGCGACCTTCACAGAAATGTAAATGTAAGGAATGAGGAACAGTCCTACCTCTGTATCGCAGGGACCCGTCACCTTCACCCCTGTGAAGTTCTTTAGCAGTGCAGACTTAATCTCGGCTTTCTTGGTGATGGGTTGAACCTGACTTGCCGCAGCCTGTGCACTTGGACTTGCTGGGGAACTGGGAGAACTGCTTCCGCTGGCAGCGGGTGCGGCGGAGCCTCCGCTATGGGATCCACCCCCTTGTGGATTTGTTGGTTCATGACTTTGTGCACTGAATCCAGTCGATTGCAGATTGTCTGCTTGAGGACCTTTTTGTGCACTTTCAGATGATCCAGAGTGCGACCCTTCTCCAGACGATGTTACATGCCCGGTTCCCGTCACCTGGTCAGTGGAAGTGGATTGCGTAACAGCAGAATCTCCAGGTGGCGTCTGCGTAGTTGTGAACACCGCTACATTGTTGCCGTAAGCGGCACCTGTTCAAAGGTGTCAAAAGGAATTCGTATGCAATGGGGGAGCCACTTCTCGGGGAATGAAGTGAAACATTTTTAATTTTAAAAATGGGGTGATCCGCAAGACGAGTATCTCCCCATCAGATATAGCTCCTTTTTCTTTCTTTATTATTTTTTTTTATTTTTCTTACATAAAGCGAGAAACACGAGAAAACTGTACTTCATCTCGTTTCGGTTAAGTCAAATCTGCATTAAGACTTTTCTTCTTTTGCAAAGTGTACTGCCTTTACGTAAAAATGGGTACTCTCTTTTTGTTAAATCGTTTACACATTTGTTTAAAAAAAGAACAAATTACTGTTTTGTTCTTGTTCTTTTTTTTTTTTTTTTGTTCTTGTTTTTTTCGTTTTTTTTTGTTCTTGTTTTTTTCGTTTTTTTTTGTTTCGTTTTATTTATTTTTGTTTCGTTTTATTTTTTTTTTTTGTTTTATTTTTGTTTTTTTTTATTTTTTTTCTCTAAGTGAGTTAATCGTTTTCTCCCATTTGACACAAAAGTAATTGGAAAAATGCCCCGAGGTTTCCTTTGCCATGTGTGCAGTAGTCGTATGCTGGGAGTTCCGAGTCGCTACATGTAACGCCCCATTCAGATTTGCACTCTCGAATTAAGCTCAAGTGTGTACGCGTACGTTTCATCCCTTGGACCATGTGATGATAAAAGAGGTATGAGAAGTGGAAGTAACCGGCTGGGGTGTGTGCAATACACATGCATGCAGTGTGTGTAAATTAGGGGCACACACTTTTGTGTTACTCGGAGCCCGTACGTATTCCCCCGCCCCTTGGTTAACACACGTCCAAATTTCATCTAATCTTAAAGCACCTAGTTTTAACCCCGCCTCCGCTAGCGGACAAAGTTTTAACGAAATATATATATATTTATTTTTTTGTTCGTTACTTAAATTGCGCGTTTTTAACGAAATGGGAAAATCAAACAGTGAAGAGCAAAAGCCATTGCGCATGCACATCGGCACGCAGTTACCCCCTTTACGTGAAAGGTGTGAGGAGGCTCACGCGGAGGGAAGCACTCTCCCCAGAGTGAGTTGTTAAAATGCTTTTGAAAAAAAAAAAAAATAAAACCCCCTTTGCGTGAAAACTGTAAGAGGTTATCAAATGCCATCTGTAAATCTTTCACAAAAATAAATAAAAAAATAA